GCCAGTCAAGAGCCTCCATTGGGGATTCTTCTACCTAGGAACGCACAATAAATCCCTCCGACACTAACCAGACAAAATGGGGGCTGCAACTAATCAAAGTTTCCCCCTTTCCCTTGGGGCTGGCCCAGTCCCAAAGCTGCCCCTGTAGGGAAAGACGTCCAAGACTTCCACCTGGCAAGGCCTGCTTCTGCTTTGGCTGCAGTGCCCAAGCCTCCAGGCCAGCCTTGCAGGGGGTTGGGGTGCACCTGTGAGCCCGGACCTTGAACCGGAGCCCTCCCAGTGGCCCTGGGCTCCTGTCGCCTCCTTGGAAGGAGTTGGGCTTCCCTGCTCTCCTCCGCACACCAGGCCTCCTGCTTGCCTGGGGGCAGTTGGGGAGAGAAGGAAGGGCTTGGAGCCCTTCTGTGGGTGTGACAGGATGCAACCCTCCATTTTGAACGTCTATAATAATAATAAATAATAGGAATAATAAAAACAAGGACAAATAGGCTGCAAAACAGCTTCTATCCCAAGGCAGTAGCTCTGTTGAATTCTACTGTGTAGTGCAGTGTTGGTGCTGTGTCGGGGGTTTTGGTTCAATGTGTGGAGGGTGAAGGATGTGTGTTTGTGTTTATTTTCATGGTCATGATGTGCACTGAAGACGGTGTTTGATTTTGTTGTACGAGGTGCAATCACAGTCAAGTAAACTAAACTAAGCTAATTAACTTCAGGATAGGACTATGCCAGGGCTTTGCCTAGTCAACAGGCCCAGGGAAGGAGGCAAGAGGGGGCCTGAGTCGTGAGGAGGGCTCCACACTCAACTTGGGTTCCGTCTCTAGGGGAGCGTGTGGGCGCCTTCACGGTCATTTGCAAGGACTCGGAGGAAGCCAAGAGAGTGGAGTCCCAGCTCAAGATCCTGATCCGCCCCATGTATTCCAACCCCCCCATCAATGGGGCTCGGATAGCTTCTGCTATCCTGAACAGCCCTGACCTGCGGAAGGAATGGTGAGCGTCCTGGGGTCCTCTCTCCTGGGCTTTAGGGGCTGCGGCTGTGCTCTGCTTTGGAGCCTTTGGGGCAGGGGGGCCTCAGGCGAGAGCCTGTCGGGACTGAATGCGGCCAGGGCCATTTGCTGGGCTGCTCCGTGCATCGCTGCAAATTGTTAGAAGGGAGTGCCAGGACGGGCCAGTGGTGGGGGTGACCTTGTCAAGGGACGGGGACCAGCCTAGGGAGCCTTTTGAATCGCCTTCCCCCGGGGGAAAGTGGAGCGGTCCAACTCTGAATTGAGGGCCAAGTCTTCTATCTTTAATGCAGAGGTCTCCAAACTTGGCCACTTTAAGATTTGGAGACTTCAACTCGCAGAATTGGCTGAGGAACTGTGGGAGTTGAAGTCCCCAAGCCTTAAAGTGGCCAAGTTGGAGGACCCCTGCTTTAACGGAAAGGCCTCCACTTTGGCGCTCGGAAGAGCCTCTTCTCCCTCTGGGTCCCGAGATGGGGGTCATGGAGAGCAGAATGGGGAGGGCCTGGGGGATCTGGTCTCCCTGCCGCTGAGCGCCCTTTCTGGCTTCCCTGGGCAGGCTGGCAGAGGTGAAGGGGATGGCCGACCGCATTATCGGCATGCGCACCCAGCTGGTGGCCAATCTGAAGAAAGAAGGTTCTTCTCATAACTGGCAGCACATCACTGATCAGATCGGCATGTTCTGCTTCACCGGACTGAAGCCGGAGCAGGTAAGACGTGGGGGCGGTCTGAGTGTCCAGAGCCCCTTGGCCTGCTTCGACCCCAACTGGGCTCGGTTTGGGAGAGGAGCTTGACCTCTTGCCCCCTTTATTTAGCAGCCCAACCCTGGGGGAGCTTCCGAGAAGTTTGCTTCCCCCGCTTTAAGGGGGTGACCCCTATATTCATCTGTACTCGGCTCCAGGTGCTTTGATGAAGGGGCTACAAGGGGCGAATCTTAGGTTGCCCAACATTCATTCATTCATATCTTGCCTTTACTACTTTCACATGTGTGTAACTCAAAGCGGCAAACGTATCCAACACACCCTATTTTCTTCACAACAACCCTATGAGGTGGGTTGGGCTGAGAAAGAGTGACTAGCCCAAAATCACTCAGCCAACTTTCATGCCTAAGGCAGGACTAAAACTCACTGTCTCCTGTTGATAGTCCAACATCCCCCAGCTGGCTTTCCCAGCTAAGGCAGGACTAGAATTCACAGCCTCCAGATTTCTGGGTGAGCACTACAGCAAACTGGCTCTCTGTTGCTCTAGAGTCTAGACCATTTTAAAACATTACAAGGAAAGGTGTGCTCAGTCCTCTCTGGTTTTCAAGACTCGATCAAGTCTGATGGGAGAGCCAGATATTTAATTTTAAATTTATTAAGGTACAGGTTGAGGGTTTGTGTGTGTGTGTGTGTGTAGTTCAAGCCTACAAGGTCCTGATTGTGTTTCTCTGCAGGTTGCCTATCAGCTTCTGAGCCAGGTTCAGTCCTGTCAGTTGTGGGGAGGGCAGTAAAATTCCTGAGAACTTGGTGTCTGGTCTGCTGGCCAGAGAGGCTCCAGAGGACAGAGGGGGCCCATGTCATGTTCTTGCTGTGCTCCTTGAATCTTGGTCGCTGGGAATCACCTGGGCTTTTAGTTTCTATTGTGTTGCATTGAAACAACTTTTCTGCTGCAGTGCAGCATGTAAATTAGTGAAAAATTAAAACAGTGGGGATGCCCAGAAACCCCAGGATAATGGAGGGATTTCCCCCTCCCCTGTTGGTGCTGTCCTTGCTGCAGCAGGTTGCGGGGAGGGGGTGTCTCCACTGCTTGGCCAGTCAGCCACGCCCCTCGGGAGACGCGGCTGCTGGACCTTCATGGTGGGAAGGCCTCCCCCTGAACGGAACTTTCTGTTTTCCAGGTGGAACGGCTAACCAAAGAATTCTCCATCTACATGACCAAGGATGGCCGCATCTCCGTTGCAGGCGTCACCTCGGGCAACGTGGCTTACCTGGCTCACGCCATCCACCAGGTGTCCAAGTGAACAGGGAGGCTTGTCAGATGGCTTTGTACTCTGTCTGGGCTGGGGGGAGAGTAGGAGTAGCAGCAGCAGCGCAAGCATTTCCCTCGCTTTTCATCATCCGTCACTTGGCTTTGTGTCATTGCGCACTCACACACGCACACACCCATCGCTTGAGGTGACTTCCGGTCCTGGGTGCGAACACTCTGGCATCCTCTGAGCTGGGCTAGGAGACTCTTGGCCTCTTTGTGAGCGTAGCCTTCCCAGGACTACAGCTCCCATAAATAGCCAGGCTAATTTCAAGTGTGCCCTGTTCAGTCTGCCTGCGTGGAGTGGACGTCCTTCTCCCAAACTCTGTGCCCAGGGATTTGAAGGAAGCTGTCCAGGAAAAGTGGCTTTTTTTCTTGCTAGAAAAAGTTCTCATTGTTCTTATGACAGGAATATAAGGCTTTTTTCCCCACTTCCCAATAGAAAAAAGCACAGTATTTTAAACTATTCACTGACAGGATTAATTTTGATTCGCCGTAACCCATTAAATTCCCTTCCCTTTCCTTTGGGGTCTTTGAGAAACCGTTGTATCTATGGACATATGTATGGACATACTTGCGTGGAAAGCCGCCCTCCTGGGGTAAAGCTCCTTTGCGAAGTTGGCATATGTTGTGGCTCTTAAAAAACACAACTTTTCTCAGCTGCTCACCTCACCAAGGAAATATTCTTTCTCCTATTCAAAAATTATTATTAGTGCTGCTTCAGTTCCGGTAGAGATAGATGCTGAAAGGCGTGGGGCCGAACGTCCACAGAAATGGAACATTGCATGAATTAAGTAGGACAGAAGTTGCAAAACTGACCCCCAGTGCGATATTCGCACTGCAACCCCTACTTCGTATTGTGAACTCATGTATGATGGAGCTCTGAATTTTCTCGTGTGTGTCTTAAGAACTTCTGAATGCTCTCCCCACCTCTGAAAGCAGAGGGCAGGAGAAAGCCGCCATCAGGTTGATCAACCAACGAGCTTCACTGGCTGCACCCCCGTCCTGTGCCAGGTTGATGCTGGGGTGCTCTGGTTGTCTCTTCAGAACCCCAAGTGAGGAAGAAGCATTCTGGGAAACGGGGCGACCTGCACAGCTGCAGCCATCAAATGCCTCCCATGGTCCATCACCCCTGGGACGCCTCGTCGTCGTCTCGAGCGGATCAGTGGAATGGTGAACTCTGCAAAAGCAAAGCCACCGAAAGAGACGGGTGGTGGTTGTGTGGCTGCTGAGAAAACCGCCTCTCCCCCTTGGGAAGCCAAGCACAGGCGCCTCTTCCAGCTGGCAGGTTCCCCGCCTGAGAGGTGGCAGGCAACCTGCCTCTTGCGCAGCTGCCAGGCTCTGCCTTCCTACCCTCCCTCCCTTCCTCCCTCCTTTAATAAAGCTGCTGTACATCAAACGCCTCGGTCTGGGATTCTTCTTTTGATTAAATGTTTTAATGTTTAACACAATAAATCCATTCCGCTTCAATCGTGTGTCAGTTAGGTACACATTTCTTGTGCTTAACAATTACTAATATTCTTAACAGTATAACAATATAATAATACTCACATTCCCATATATATAAGTAATATTCAGTATGTCTATTACACTAGTTCCTCTTATTGCTTTATAAATACATCTAATCCCTTTTAATTTTTATTTTCTAGCCATTTATAAAGCAAGTCCCACACCATACACTATTCAGATTCTTTTTCTTTATTTTCTAAGGTTAAATTATTCATTTCTGCACATTCAAATATTTTTTTCAATCACTTTTTCCTCTATTGACATCACCTCCAATTTTGAGCAAATACAATTCTAGCTGCTGTTCACATATAAGAATGTTTTTCGGGGTCTTTCTTGGTCGCTCGCCTGGGACCCCGCAGCGCAGGGACGGGGTGGGTTGGGGGGATCGGTCGGTAGTGGAGCGATGCCCATCTTGGACCCCAAGAAAGAAGATACCGGGCTCGGCCGGGCCTTGGCTCCCCCAGGGAGGGCTGTGGACCGTCCTGGGCGGCCCCAAGCGCCTCCATGAAGAGCCCGGGGCACTGTGCCTGGGACGGGGGCTCCTCCGGCAGCTGCTTTGAAGGGGTCCGGTCGGTGTGCTTCGTGTGCCCGCCTTGCTCTGAAGCCCTCCCGCATCGCCCCCATTTCCCGGATTTGAGCAACCTGAGGGCCCGTAACTGTCCCGTCCCGTCCCCCAGCCCCCGGGATGGGGTTTCGTCTACGGGTAGCCTGAGGCGGGCCGCGGGGGCTCCTTCCCAAGCGCTGCCTCATCGCAGCCGGTCGGAGCTGAAGGGAGAGAAGGGGTCGCAGAGATCATCCAGACCAGGGGTCTCCAACCTTGGCCGCTTTAAGGCCTGTGGACTTCAACTCCCAGAATTCCTCAGCCAGCAAAGCTTTAGGACTTTTGTGGACCAACTCCCGGAGCAAAGCTGGCTGAGGAATTCTGGGAGTTGAAGTCCACAGGCCTTAAAGCGGCCAAGGTTGGCGACCCGATTCCAGGCCGCCCCAAGGAGGCGGGGCGGGGCGGGGCCGGCGGAAGAGGCAGGGGCGGGGGCGGCGTCCCGCGCGCGGGGGGCGGTTGCGGCTGCGGGAGGGCGAGCGGAGGGGACGCGCGTGCTCGGGCGGCGGGGACGCGCTTGGCCGGCCCAGGGGCGGGTCCCGGACTTCGCCCGGGGGGTCTGGAGCCGGATCCCTCCCCCCCCCCACGCGACCCTGCTCCGGGGCTCGTGACTTGTTCGCGGCTGCCTGCTCCGGCTCCCTCGGGGCTGCGCGGTGAGGCGCGGCGGGGTCGCGTTTCGCGGGGGCGGGAAAAGTCGGGTCGTGGCTCGAAAGCGCCCGGTGATGCCCCTGCCCAGCCGCCGGCTCCGGGCCCGACCCGAGAGCGGCGCCGGCGGGCCTCTTCCCCGGCCCCGAGCGATGCCCGGCTCAGGTGGGGGGTGGGGGGGCTCTCCCGTTCGGCTGGCGGTCCGACGGGTGTGCTGGGTCCGTAGCGCCCGGACAGGGCATCTCCGGAGCGGCGGGCTCCGTCCAGCCAAGACGCGGCTCTTCCAGTTTCCCCGCCTGCTGTTCGGGCCTGGCCGCTGAATGGGGGACCGGGGGCGGGGGGTGTCGGTGGCCGGGAGGGCCGGGGGGGGAGGCTGATGGCGCCCGGCTTTCTCCCCAGAAGGGCTGCTGCTGCTTGCCGCTGCTGCCGCCCCCCTCCTCCTGCGGGGGCCCCGCCTGGCCTGCCGCCCAAGGGATGTGCGACTCGGCTGCCCGGAGAAGATGACTCAGAGCCACGTGGGCATCAACAGGGACTATGGCAACTGGGAGTGGAGCCCCGCTGATGCCGGCGAGCGGGCCAGGCTGTTGCAGAGCCCCAGCGCGGAGGAGCCCCGGCCGGCCACCACCTCCATGCTGGGTGCCGTCTTCATCGTCGTGAACGCCGCGCTTGGTGCGGGCCTGCTCAACTTCCCAGCAGCCTTCCAGATGGCCGGCGGAGTGGCCGCTGGAATCGCCATGCAGACGGTGAAGGGCCCTCCTCGGTGCTGCTGGCCCAGAGCAAACCTTAGGGGCCAGGCTCTTCCTTGGGGCCGACGGGTGCACCTCACTAGAGACCTGCTCTTGGCGAGGGGGCTCTTGTTGTCAGGCAGACCCTGCAGGCTCCCTGGTGGCCCAGCAACCATTGGCCACTCAGGCTGCCCTCCAGTGACCATCCCTGGGGAGCAGAGCAAACCTCACCTGGGGCTCCCAAAGAGCTGGTGGTGCTGGCCCAGGGCCTTCCGCTGCCTTCCCTTGCCCGCCTGAGTGTTCCTGAGGAGCAAGAGAAGGATGGCTCTGTAAGCCAGGCAAAAGCCCCAGAAGGGCGAGTGTTGACACCTCCCCCCCCCCCCAGGAATGCCCTTTGGTGTCCGAAAGGGCCTGGCCTGAGCCCCTGCAGGCGGCATCCACTCATTGGCCAGAGATCTTGTCCTGTGGTGTGGGGGTTGCCTCTCCTCCTCCCTTCGTTGCAATAGCAATAACACTTTACAGCCCACTCTAGGCAGATTACCGAGTCAGCAAATTGCACCCAACAAACTGGCTTCTCATTTTACTGCCCTCGGGAAGGAAGGGAGGCTGAGTCAGCCTTGAGCCTGGTGAGATTCAAACCGCCAGCAGTCAGCAAGAAGTAGCCTGCACTCCTGCATTCCAACCACTGCACCACTATGGCTCTGTGTGTGGGGTGTGTGTGCGTGTGTGTGTGTTTTACAAGGGCTGTTTCCTCCTTCCCACCCAGCTAACGCCTGCCCTTCTCTGCCTCCCTTGCAGGGGCTCCTGCTCTTCATTATTGGTGGGCTGGTCGTCCTGGCCTACTGTTCCCAGGCCAGTAACGAGCGCACCTACCAGGAAGTGGTATGGGCTGTTTGTGGCCGAGTCCTGGGGGTGCTGTGTGAGGTGGCCATCGTGGTCTACACCTTTGGCACCTGCATCGCCTTCCTCATTATCATCGGGGATCAGCAGGACAAGAGTGAGTGTGGCAGTGGATGCCGTGGGTCGCCCCCCCCCCCCCCCCGTCTCCTCTGAGGCCGGTGACTTCCTCATCAGGCAGCTCTCGTCTTCCATAATTAGAATCCGTCCACGGTTTCTCTAAGGGAGCATGGCCACCCCGGAGTGGGCACTCGGCAGACTCCTCCTGCTGATAAGGACCTCTTAGGTGGACTGGGCCCTCAGAGGCCAACTTTCTCTCTCTGTGTCTCCGGAAGTCATTCCAGTGCTGGTAAAGAGCTGTGCCACAGAAGGGAGGAGCTGCTGGTTCACGGATCGCAAATGCACGATCAGCCTCACAGCCATTCTCTTCATCCTTCCACTGTCCGTCCCCAAAGAAATTGGCTTCCAGAAATATGCCAGGTACCTGCCAGGTGGGTGGGCGGTGCTGCTGCTGCCCGTATCCCCCAAAGACGGTTGTTGTGTGTGTTGACACTGGTGGGCTTTTTTCCTGCCCCTTGGCAGCTCTGGTAGGTCCAAGAATTCTGGTTTGCCAGCTGCTGCTGCTGCTGCAGTGCTTGCCTTTGGCTTGGAGGTTGCCTGTCTTCCTGTGTTCACCCCTTTCCCTCCATCCCGGCCCACAAACTTGCTTGCAGTTCTGTTTTATAGGATAAACGCCAATTTGGGGGAGGCTCTTTTAACCCTTGAAAGTCTGGATCCCAGGAGGGAAAATCCTGTGTGTTCACCCTGAATGCCTTCCACAGGCTTGTTTATCTCCATCCCTTCCACCAACTGGGTTTTTAGAGCACCTTCCCTGTGTTAAATCAAAATCATGTTTTCAGTTTATAAATGAAGCCAGTTTGGTCTGGTGGTTAAGGCACTGGGCTAGAAAGGGGGAGACTATGGGCTCCAGTCCGGCCTTAGTTGTGAAAACTAGCTGGTGGTTCTCTCTTAGTCAAACTCACCTCCCAGGGGTTGTGTTGGATACGTCCATCACCTTGAGTTAATTGTAATAAAGGTGGGATACAAGCAAGTAAATAAAAGGTGAGAGAAGTTGCATAAAGAAGCAGTATTATTTTTAAATATATTTTATTAAATGTTAATAAATAATATCAGGTGAGCGTATTAACACAGAGAAAAGAAACAAAACAGAAAAATATAGGAAATGCAAAAGAGATCTACTGCAATGAACCTAGACAGGTTCTGTCATAAACATTTGCCATCTATCTAGAGTATAGCAGAGTATAATCTGTTGCCACTGAAATAAAATGATAATATGTCCAAATGTAAATGTAATTCTTGTCTCTGATGTCTCATTAGTTTTAACTTTGTGGGTTTTTTTGTAATATAGCAGTTAATTCACAACTCTGTTACGTTATCTTGATTATTCCAATGTTGGGCAATTATTATTTTGGCTGATAAACAAATAATTCTCCCTTTGTTTTTAAGCTTATGATTTAGTCCTGTAAATACATTCAGTAATGCTGGCTCTGGGGAACATTCAATTATTGGATTAGTGGTAGCACTTATCTCCCCAAAGATTTTACACCCAGAGAATATAATTTTATTGCATGACCATCACAGATGAAAGACTGGTCCTTTTGTTTTGACCACCTCTTGAACATTTGGAAGAATAATTCTGATATACTTATGCCAATCTAACAGGAATCGGGTGTCAAGGGTGTATAATCTTGCACTGAAGCTGAAGTCAATCAACCCAGTTTTAATAGCCTTCACCAATTTATCTCCTGCATGGGGTTACCAAGATCCATATCCCAAGCTTTTTTAAATCAGTAGGATCTCCTGTTTGACAGTGTTGGTATTGAAATAAAGCACGTATGAAATGTTTCTGGTGGATCCCCACATCCCTAAATTTCGCTCTCTTTCAGCTGCTTGAGTGTGATCGGGACCTGGTACGTCACAATTGTCGTCATTATAAAGTATTTTTGGCCTGACCAGGTGATCTCCCCAGAGATAATCACAACCAGGTACGTGAATGCCGGCTGCATCCAGAGAGGCAGAGACGGCTGAGGGTTGCCATGAAGAAAAAGGCACGGCCGCCTCAGGCTTCGTATCGCGCAACAAAAGCAGAAGAGAAACCTGGCAGTCTTTTATGTCAATGGTCGTGCCTTGTTGGGGTTGCCCAGATAACCCCCTTCCCTGCTCGGTTAGCGGCAGTAACTGGCGCTCCTCTTCCTGGAGCTGCAGCTGCTATTCTGCGGGGGGGGGGGGGCAACCTCCTGCAAAGGGACAGATTGGCCGTGTTGTTTCGTCCCTGTAGGAGAACCATGGCTGGGGGGAGGGGTGCACTTGGCTGGGACATCTCCTGCCCCCCCTTCTGATGAGGCGCTTGCGGGGGGATCCCCTCCCTCCCTAATCCAGCTCTCCTCTTCCTCCCCGCAGCCGCCCTTCTTCCTGGGTGTCTGTTTTCAACGCCATGCCCACCATTTGCTTTGGTTTCCAGGTAAGGTTCAAGCAGCTCTGCTGTCTGCCCTGGGCTGTGCCAAGAGAGGCTTCGCTGAGGGAGCAGTTGGTGCCACCGCAGGGCAGAAACCTTTCCCGTCTAGATGGGGTAGATTCGGCCCTTGCAGTTGCTGAGCGGCCTCCCCTCCTCTCGCTGGAGGTCTGAAGGAATCCCTCCCTTCCTATGGCCCTTGTTGGGGGGGGGAGGTGTTTGGGTCTGCTACCCAGGATCTTCGGGCATCCTTTAGCTCCTCCGTATCTTCCCTGGGCATCCAACGAAGTCTGGCTGAAGTGGGTCCCGGGTTGGTCGGGGCGCACAGATACCTGGGAGTGGCTTTTCCATCCTCCTCCAAATTGGATTGGACTTTTTCCATTCGCAAGATTGCACATTAGTGGTGTGATTAACAGCTACAACCCCACTTGTAAAGGTTTCTGGATCAGTGGTTTTCCAAGGGGCCCGAAGGGAGTGATGGGGGGGGGGGGAGTCAAAGGGCCATTTGGTGTCAGAGAGAGTCCCTAGCCCAGCAAGGAGAGAGAATGACCATTCTGATGGACAGACCTCTGTCGGTGGGGGAGGTTTTATGGCTCACGGAGGAAGGGGGGCCCTTCTTGGGTTGAGCCAACCACTTCCTGAGGGGCGATTTAGGGAGGCAGGTGGGTGGAAACCAGTGTGCTTGCATTTGAAGCGAAAGGGCAGCTGAAGATCCTGAGGGGGTCCAGGGTGGCCTGCAGGCACCTGCCCTTCTGTGGACCTTCTCTGGGAAGGAAGGAAGGAGGGAGGGATTCAGAGGGACGGCCTGGGGAAAAAGGCAAAGGCCGCGTGTGCCAGGTGGGAGGGCTTCTCTCCTGACCAAGAGGGCATTTGCTCCCGCCAGTAGCAGGATCTTAGAATCCTGGCCACACCCAGCACAGTCTGCCCATCGTCAGGGCGAGCGGTGAGAGGATGGACATTCAGTGGGTGTTTCCCCCCCACCCCCGGCCACCCCCCACCCCCGAGGACCACTGGTTGGCTTGCATCTCAAGCAACAATCCCCCGTGGTACAACTGTCCTCGGGAGGCAGCCCAGGTACCTCTCCCTGCAGTGTCCAGCCCCTGTGAAGGAAGCCTGGCGGGCCGGACAGTCAGGGACATGGAAATCCGGCCAAATTAGCTGTGCCGGTCTCAGAGCAATTCAGGTGATTGCTGCCTTGCTGGGCATTGTGGAGGCGAGGGAAGAGCTGCTGGGGCAGGTTTCTGCCTGGGAGGCAACGCAACACGGATCAGCTGCTTGCAGGGAAGCTGGGGGGGGGGGGGGGGGGCTCACCTTGGGCTTCCTTCTTCCAGGTTGCTTCTACACCTGGAAGGGGGGGAGAAGGGAGCTGCTCTGTATCAAGATCTTGGCAAAGATCTGCCCAGGGCAACGCATGCCAGGTGGGCAGGAGGACACGGTCTGTTACGCTTCCCACCTGTGTCTGCCTGAGCTTGCCTAAAACTCAGGGAGGGGCTCCTAGCTCAGCTTTGGGCTTCTAGGGTTTCACTTGGCAGATTTGGAGGGAGACCGCCCTGGGTTTCCCACTGAGGAAGCTGTCCAGCGCCTGGTAGAGGCAGCGATGGCATTGGGGGTTTCCAGGCAGACCCGGATGCGTCACACGCTGGCTATGACCACTCCTGTTTTAGCGAAGGGGAAGAAAGTCGAGATACGTCATGTGCCGACAACCTGAGGCCACAAGTGTGGCACCCCAATTTTTAAGGAGATTAATATATGACAGTGGCAAGTAACAGCTGCCAAGCTAAGTTAAAAAAGGTGATGGCAATTAAAATTATTCTCTGGAATGAACCACAGGTAGTAACTAGGGCATCACTTGGTTAAGGGAGGAGGTTTTCCCCAGGAATCCTGGATTCTCGTTGTGAACTGAAGTGGGCGTCCACCTGCAGTTACCATAATGCCCGCCTGAGTGGATGAAGGGCTTGGGGACCCGGTGCAGCAGCTTCAGAGTTTGGGGGGGGGGGTTAGGGGTTAACCCATTGCCCCAAAGCAGCTTTGCTGCCCCCCCCCAGCACTGAGCCTTCCCCTCCCCCTTTCGTAGTGCCACGTCAGCAGTGTGCCCATCTTCAACAGCATGAAGTGCCCGCAGGTAAGGACCTGGGGAGTCGTCGTGACGGCAGCCATGGTCATCGCCCTCTTTGTCTACATGGGCACAGGTAGGGAGTGGATCCCGAAACCCAGCCGCTCGTTCCATCCAGTGGCTTCTGCTTTGGCTGAGGGCCTGGCAGGAGCCGTGCCTGGTGTTGCCCCAGCCTCCCTCTGTCCCTGCCAGGCGTCTGTGGCTTCCTGACCTTCGGTGAGAGTGTGCAGCCGGACGTGCTCCTCTCCTACCCCTCGGACGACATCCCGGTCGCCTTCGCGAGGGCCTTCATCATCCTCTCGGTCCTGACTTCCTACCCGATCCTGCACTTCTGTGGAAGGTGAGCAGGCCGGCTGGGAGGGGGTGGGAAGGCGGTGGGGGGGCGTGTGCTGACCCTTCCGAGGTCTTCCTCCTAGAGCCGTCCTGGAAGGTCTCTGGCTGCGCTACAAAGGGGAAAGCATGGAGGAAGACACGAGCCGGGAGAGACGCCGACGCCTATTGCAGACCTTCTGCTGGTTCCTCCTCACCCTCCTCCTGGCCTTGTTCATTCCGGACATCGGCAGGGTCATCTCGGTCATTGGGGGGCTGGCCGCCTGCTTCATCTTTGTCTTCCCAGGTAGGGGAAAGGTTTCTGGGAAGGTGGGCGGGCGGTGGCTTCTCTGGGTTCTCCACTGCAGGACGGCCGGGGCTTGGATGGCCTGCTGGTCCCAGGCTGCAGCCAAGGCTGGCTTTGGGGACAGAAGTGGCGAGGAAGGAGCCAAAGGCTGCCCCCGAAGAGCCACCTGATGTTCCCACGAGGCCGGGGAGGGGGGGGGGGGAGAGCCAGCTGAGGGCAGGCAGGGAGTTTCCTGCAGCTCCAGGGACGGGATGGGAAGCCCTGACTGGCCCCCCAGTTGCTGCGTGACAGTTGGCCGGTTCCCCCCAGGGCCGACCTCTGGAGGGAGGGAGACGCCTGCCTGGCTGAGAAGCTCCCCCTGTGCAGCCGGAGGCCCTGGAGGGAAAGTGCTGCCTCTCCACTCTGGGGCCGCGGTGAGACCGTCCCCAGGCTGCCCAATCCCGCTCTCTCTTTTTGCCCTGCCAGGCCTCTGCCTCATCCACACCAAGCTTTCCGAAGTTCAGGGAGCTGGAGGAGTGAGGTAAGAGAGGAGCTCGGCCTTGACCCATCCCCGCCTCGCTCTGCCCCTCGCTGGCCTGACTGTGTCTGTCTCCTCCCCGCAGCTGGTGGATGGTGGTCGGCTACGGGATATTCATGGTTGTCCTCGGCGCTTTCATCTTCGGACAGACAACGGCTAACGCCATCTCCTTGGATCTCAGGAAGTGACCCACCAACTCCACTCCACTGGATCTGGACAGTCCCCTGGGGACTTTTAAGCAGCCAAATTATTGGAACCTCCAGACCTCAGCATTGACAAAGCAGGAGGGTCCTTCTCTTTCTCTGGTCAAATCACTGCTCTGGTTTCCAGTTGCCGTTGGATGAGGGGCTGTTGGCTTTTACCTGTTGCCCCCCCCCCCCCCCCACACACACACCCAAAAGAAAGAGGCCTGTGGACTTCAGCCGCTGAGGAGGAGGAGGTCTCTTCATTTAGCCGGGGAGATCAGCTGCTCTGCTTGGACCAAGGATGGAATAAAGTGAATGCATTTGATTGGGATGGTTGTGACATCAGATATGTGAAGGTTGCTTGCAAGTCAGCATGTGAGAAGTGCATTGAGCAATTTTAGTGGGGAAAAGGATCCGTCTCCACATTAAGCTGCTTTTGCTTTTTGTGTCTGGAACTGAATCTTGCAAAACAAAACAAAACAACACACAGAGAGAGAGGGGGGGAGAGAGAGAAACTTGACTAGAAATGGCATATATTTTTCTGTGCGGAGATTTGGAATTTATTAGGATTCACGTGTTTATAACCTCTGACTTCCAGTTTCTAACAAGAACGGTGCTGCTTTGGGCAAAATGCTGGGTGTGACTTGGGGGGCGAGGGAGGGGCAGGGTGCTGTGCTTCTCAGCTGATGAGCAGGAGCCGAAGCCACTTGCTCCTCCGTTGGTCACAGATCCCACAGGTGTGTGGACTACTGTCAAATCAAGGAAGGCAAGCAGCCAGAAAAACCAACTCCAGTGTCAGACTGAGAGACCTGGCAGCTGCTTGGAGGGATGGTAGGGCAGGAAAGCATAGAATTTCAGCTGAGAACCTGCAGGTAAAATTAGACTTCAGCAGAATCTTAACATGAACCCACCTGTCACTTTTGGCTTAGCCAGAACGGGAGCTCTGATCTTGACAAGCGTCTTGAGGAGGTATGCATGCAGTGCATCTTGGGAAAGTCATGATTTAGTGTCTGGGTTTGTAGATGACAAATAATGTACCAATGAATGAGCAAGGTTTCCGATTTGAGAAGCAACGATCCCCAAGAAATCGTTGGTTCTGGCGGGAGAGAAGGGGAACTCGCAGGGTCGTGGCTGGGGCCACCTGCCCCAAAGGCAGACCGAGGTTAGTCCACCGAGCAAGGGCCAAAGAGTCCACAAGGCACTAGAAAGCTTCTCAAACCAAATAACTCACCAGGCCAACCTAAATCCATGCACGAGGCAAGAAAAGTCCAGAGTTTCCAAGGCCCAATTCGATTCCAAACATGGTGCCAGTCCAGAGTGAGGCAGGAATCACGGCGGCCAGAAAACACACAGCGAGGAAACAAAACATTCCAGCAACGCCACCACGAGATAAATAGTAATCTTGTGGTGCAGCCCAAGGAGAGGAGAGGCTTTCTCTCGAGTAGAGGTAGTCCTTTATCACCACAACTGAGCCCAAAATGTATGTTGTTAGGTGAGACATTTATTAAGTGAATTTTGCCCCGTTTTATGATCTTGCCACCGTTAAGTGAATCATTGCAGTTGTTAAGTTAGTAACCCAGTCGTTAAATGAATCTGGCTTCCCCGTTGCTTGTCAGAAGATTGTACAAGGGGATCACAGGACTCTATGACTGTGATAAATATGAGTCACATCTGAATTTTGTTCGTATGACCGGGGATGCTGCAACAGTCATAAGTGTGAAAAACGTCTCTTTCAAGTGCCACTGTAACTTTGAATGAACTGCTGTAAGTCGAGGAGTGCCTGTAGTCAGGCTGACCTGCTGCCTCTTCTCTGCCCTCTGTGTTCTTGGATCAGGTGCAGAAGTCAGCTCCTCCTCCTCTTCGCTGGTGTCTGCGAGCTTTTCCCAGCTGGAGCCTCAGCCAAATGGCCGTTCAGAGCAATCAATCAACTCTGCTCCTGGCCTGCTGAATCTTCCCACAAGCTGCCATCTGAAGAGCCATCTGGGGATCGTCCAAGGGAGTCCTCACACGCCTGATGAAATTTGGACCCCTCTGAAATGCAAGGATGGTCCCAACCCAATCCAGGAAAACAACCTGGTTATTTGTACAACAGGCACAGGGAGGCCTCTCAGGATCGAGCCAACAAGTCCCTCTTTCCAACTGCTGGCCATCATACATAATATTTATTAAAGGAGTCTCCCCCCCCCAAAAAAAAGAAATGAATCGGGATAGGATTTGAGAAGGGTAGGTGGCTGCACAGTTTGCTCAGCTACTTTGCCCCCAAAATGGACCACAGAAACCAGACCACGTTTTTGAAATGTCTAGGTGCAGTTTAGGATCCAAAGCGGAGGCTTGGAAGGGATCCAGTCCAAACGCGGCTCAGAGCTTCTGCCCCCCTTGGTTCAAACACCGCCAGGGAAGCTGCTGCTGCTGCGTCAAGATTTGCCTCGATGTGCAGCTGAACTTGGAACCCCTTGTTTTGTCTCCTGTCTCCTCGTAGCTGGAGTTCTCCCCTGCTCTGGATGACTTCGGTTCAGGTAGGTGAAGGTGGCCATCATGTACTCCGCCACACTTGCTTTTCCAGGCTGAACGCCAGCTCAGGCAGCCTCAGGTGTGGAAACCTCTTCACAGAACCATCACGGATCTGCTCTTAGACCCCCTGCAATCTGCCCACTGAGCAAATAGGTCGGCAGATGATGCTGTCAATATGGCTCTGCATTACATCCTACAACACCATGAATCTCCAAAGAACTACACAAGAGTCCTCTTTGCAGACATCAGCATGGCATTCAATACCATCATTCCAGATATTCTTCTAACTAAACTAAATCAGCTCGCTGTGCCTGACCACACTTGTAAATGGATCATAAGCTTTCTAACAGACAGCCAACAGCGGGTGAAGCTGGGCAAGATCACATCAGATACCTGTACAATTAGCACAGGGGCCACCCAGGGCTGTGTGGTGTCTCCACCTCTTTCTAAATACCAGTGACTGCATCTCAAATGATCCCTCTGTTAAAGTACTGAAGTTTGCAGATGATATAACAGTGATTGGTCTCATTCAAGACAACAATTAATCTGCATACAGATAGGAGGTTGTACAACTTGCCTCATGGTGCGACTGGAACAGTCTTGAACTAAACACATTCAAAACTAGAAATAGTGGTAGATTTTAGGAGAACCCCTCCTATACTACCACCCCTTACAACACTAGACAACACTGTATCAACAGTGGAGACCTTTGAGTTTCTAGGTTCTATCATATCTCAAGACTTAAAACGGACACCTTACTTCAAAAACGTCCTGTGGTGCAGAGTGTGGGGCGCTGGCAGTTCCAGGAGCCCCAAGAATGGCCTCCATAGGACCAGTTGCTCTGCGAGCTGCAATTGGCTGCGAATTTGCTTCCATGTGCAACTGAAGGTGCTGGTGCTCACCTTTCAAGCCCGCCATGGCCTGGGGCCCGGTTACTTGGGGACCCGGCTCACCCCTCTGGCTGTGTCAGCTATCTGGAGGGGGGGGGGGAAGGGAAGAGGCAGAAATCCCTTCATCCTTTCCTTCTCTTGGGCTAATTTTGGAGTTGCAAATCAGTGAGAATCAGCCTGAAGTGCTCACGACTTCAGAGACCCAATGAAAGACCCGGCTGTCCTCCACAGACGGGACCCCGTGCAGTTCTGGGCCTGGGTTGATCTCTCTCTCTCCCCGCAAGACCCTCGGCCCCTCTCCTGCTCCCTCCCCTCTTGTCCTCCCCTGCACTTCCCCCCTCCCCCGCTTGCAACAAAGGGTCTGCAGCATATTGGTGGTGTTTTCTTAGGCAGCAAAAGTCAGCCAGGTCCCCTCCTCCAAAATACCGAGGAAGAGCAGAGTCTTCGGCACGGATCTTGGCCCCGAGGGCCTCGTCGGGGCGGAACCTTCGGCTACTGGGCAGCACGGGCGCCGCCCGGGAAGGGCGAGTGGGGGGGGGGGCGGCAATTGAGGGACGGGGGGACCGAGCGAAGGGCAAGGAGGAGCCGGGCTGCCCAAGGCAGGGGGCCCGTTGCAAGAAGACTCCCCGGCTTACCTGGCCGGCTTTCCCGCAGCGCTCTGGCCGCCCATCCAGGGGCGGCCCTGAGCGCTCCAGCCGCGCCGTTGTGGCCGCTGCGCGAGACCCGCTGACTCGCCTCCCGCAGCGGCGCCCCTTCCGCCCTTGGGCTGCGCTTCGCCCCCTCCTTCCCCGACGCTCCCTCCCGCCGCGCCCCCCGCCCCACGACTGGCCACCTGCGCGCCCACCTGACACGCTCGGCCCTTCCGGGGCCCCGTTAATTGGTCGGGAACAGCGGCGGGATTCAAAAACGGCCGGTTCTGTGGGCGTGGCCATGTGACTAGGTGGGCGTGGCTTTCTTGCTTTTGCAGCCCCGCCCATTTTGGGGAGCTTCCTAGTCTCAGAAGAGCCTCTGGGGGGCGATTTTGCTTCCGTAAGGCTCCTCTGGGGCTCTGGAAGGCAAAAAATGGAAGGGGGGGCCTGAGCTCCTCCCTCCATTTTTGGCCTTCCTGGGCCTCAGCAAGGGGAATCTACAGCTGATTGTCAGGAGGGAAAAAAAGAAAGAAATACCTTAGGCGAATGTCAGGCAGGAGGGCGACCGGGTGGGGGGGCGTGGCCAGCCAGAACTTACTACCGGTTCGGCGACCCACACCAAATTCTTGCTACCGGTTCGCCCGATCCACCACTGGTTGGGAACCCAGAAAACAGACCATTGTAGCTATTTCTCCTCCAGTCATAAAGCAAATGCCATGGTCATTAAGCAAGTCCCTTGTTGTCATGTGGTGCTTGTTATAGGATCTGGAAGTGAACTCTTGTTTCCAGCAAAAAATTGTGCTAATCTCTGTGTTGTGACCAGGGGAAGCTGCAAACAGCTGTAACTGTGGGCTGGTTGTGCAGGGCCGAAAGTGCAGTCCTGTGACTACGAGGGGGGGGGGTCGCAGCCCTCAGAACTTTGAATCTGGGTCATAGGTATCTCTGGGCTCCGTCGTACCTTTGAATGGCCACTAAGTGACCAATCATAAGTTGAGGACTATCTTTAAAGAATTCCTGTTGTGTTTACGACACCCGGACAGCTTCCTCCAGATACCTAGGTACACCCTGTTCTTTATAAACAAATTGGCTTTCAACATAGACATCCATTTAGGACAATGGAGCTCAATACTGCTGAGCAAGACCATTGTGGAATGAGCCCTGGCCCACTTTCATGCCCCGTTTGCTCGGGTCGTTCAGTGAGTCAGATGTTGTGAAACGAAGAGTGTGGTTGTTAAGCAAATGTGGCTTCCTCCCTTGATTTTGCTTGACTGGAGTCAGCTCTGGGCGACTCTGGGCCAGTGCAACGGTCATCAATATGAGCCAGTGGTCAAGGCCCTGGATTGTTTCCATGTGACCATGAAGAGGCTGCAATGGTCGTAAGTGTGAGAAGGGGTCATAAGCCCCTCTTTTCAGCGCTATTACAACTTCACAGGCTTACTAAACAAAGCG